GCATAAATGTGATTTGTAAACCGGCATAGCCAACTTTCATGGCGAATAGGTTCATATCATCATATAATATTAATTATCATCATTGACTGTGTTGTTTCTTTTCAACATATTTGGTAGAATTATTTTCATTAAATTCGTTAATCTCTCTTTCCTCATTATCTCCCTAAGAAATTCCAACGAACAATATAAATATAAGTTGCTTTGAGTTTCCTATTTTTTTTATTCAGGTCTAGTAGTTGACCATATGTTGTCTGTGGTAATTTTAACATTCGAAGGTATTTTCATCTCCCTGTCTCTCTATAGAGAAATTATCCAACATTCACGTTCTTCCTCTTTTATGTTCTGTGTTCCTGCAGGACGTTGACGATCATGGCTCTCCACAATTTTTGCTCCGTTGCAGCTATTAATGAATTTTGTCTTTTCGCTATCTCTCATAAGCACTGTTATGCCAACGATTTGCACAAGCTCCTTAGGTAGTGTTGTGGTAGGATCCACCTAATTTGCATAGTGGAGTACCGACCATATAAATATGGTTGGTACCGGGAAGAGAGTGAGGAATCAAGAGATTCAACCAGAGACTCTGCCCGACTGCGACTCAGTCAACACATTCTCCAGCAACGGTCTTACCAGGAATATACAAAAGACTATATGTAAACATTGTGTACACTTTCTTGTTTCAATACATTTTGTTCTAAGTACATTTTGTGTTGCATTATTATTCCATGCACTAGTCAAGTTTCAACATGTAGCTTATCCAACATTTTCCTTTGTCCCTCTTCAAATTCTCTTGTTAATGTCAGTTTTTCTAATACGTCTTCTCACATTATGTGCCCGAGAAATTTCAACCATTTCTTCCAGATATTAAATATAAGTGCCATTTATTGCTTTTGTTTTCTCTAAAACTTCCTCATTAATCAAATGTTCAGTCCAAGATATTCTCGACATCCTTCTTTAGAATTACCGTTCTCTTCAACTGTGAGGTAATTTTCCAGAATTCATTGTCATATCGAAGGAACCATATTTCATAACATGCCAGTACTTTGTTCTAATTAAATTTTAGATGGTTAAATATTACATTGCAATTCAGCAGCAGTTTCTGTTTTTTAAAACTTTGATTAGTATTATTTTCATCATTTCACCCCAAATAAGACAATAAAGCCACTATGATGCAATGGGTTAATAGGTGTGAAAGAATCTGTGAGAAATAAGAGAATTAAAACAATAATGAAGAGAAATTAAGAAGAGACAAGATAATGATCGATACTGCATTTAATTTTTTAAAAATCAAAGTTTACTGGAAAGCAAGAAGCCGGAAGAGAGTTTCACATGTTACAAGTGCGAGAAAAGAATCTGTTAGCATTAAACTTACGGTTAAATCTAGTCATTTCAACTGTAAAAAGAGGAGACGTGGCAAATAATCCAGTATTGCGCTTAAGTTTGTAAGTCGAGGTACCAAAGAGGAAAGATTATGGAAACAGTTACCATAAAAATATTAATAGAAAAACACAAGGCAACTATGTTACGGCGGTGGCAAATTAGCTTAAGCCAAACAGAAAGTATTAAAGATTATTTTTGGATTTTATCAAGAATCTCGAAATGAATTGCAGAAGTAGCAGACCAGATATGACATACATTTTCAATTCATGGATAAATGGTCAGGTTATAAATGCGTAAGATAGATTCTGCCGAGAAAATTATCATGATACAGTGATTTACCTTTCCTACTAGATTCTAAAAAGATCTTCCGCCATATCTACATACTTCCGGGATTCTGACACTTTCTTCAGTCAATCATAAAGAGTCAATCACATAAAGAGTCAAATATTTGGCGAATAAATTAATTGATTTCATATTAAATTGGTATTGGGTATATTATTATTATTATCCGGAAACAAACCTTAATGAAATTAACATTTTACCACGCCAGTAAAGGATATACTATTCTTTTCGACCTGTGGAAACATCGAATAAAAATCAAGCCATGATTACATGTGAACACCAGTGTAATATTTACAAAAGAATAAAGACAATATTATCAAGATCACTCAAGACAGAAGAACACGTATCTCTTCTTACTTAACAGTTAAATTTCCGCTGATAGGGAACATACATTTTTAGCTACAATCATACGTGCTTGAGGCTATGATGAATTATCAAATCCAAATGCGATTGTATTTGAAATTTCATACGGACTGAGCCATATTGCATGGATATATTCTCCGAGAACTGTCCGCAAGATATCATGTTCTTATTAGGCCCTGAAGGACATATAATCTCCTGGGATATATCCGAATATCCAGATCAGTTTTCAAACTGTGGCCCATAATCAGAATATGTATTAATTATTCTAGTTAATATGATCTTTAATGTGATCTTTACTTAAGCAATGGTAATATATATATAACATAAATTTATATATATATATATATAAAATCTCGATTATCATTAAGATTATGCTATTGAAAATATGCAGTTTTCATATACAGAAGTGTTATAACTT